AGACTGTAAAAATGAGGCACATTTTTCCCATATTTTTGCTTTAACACTGTAAATGTGACAAAGTGGTAGTTTCATTACCTGATTGATAATATTACATTACACACACAATCTTTCACTCCATGCACTCAAAATATCTAGAAATCACACACTAGTTTGGCTTGGAAGGGTCCTTTAAAGATCACCTGGTCTAACCCTTCCATTTTTATGCAATAAATACGAATTCACATATCTATTTTGAGTGTAGATACACATAAAAAGAACTGAATCATCATCAATTTTTTTTAATGTATTTGAGATTTTAAGGCAAAGTGGAATTAAAGACCTCCAGAATTTCAAATCTTATTAAGTAGAGAACAGACGAAAAGCACAATCTCTGTTTTTTTCATCAAGAGTAGAATATAAGTAACATATTTATAATAAATGGTCACCTGAAGCTTAACAGATTCTGGTAATCTTGTCTGCAACAAGCCCTTTGCAGGAGCTTTTGCTTGTTTGATTGCTTTCTCCCCAGCTTCTACTGCTTTTTCTTCAATTTGTGTCACTTCTTCCTTCTCTGTCCTCTCTTCTGTTTCTTCCTTGTGATCTCCAAACACAGTGGGATCAATGAGGAGTAACACCTGCTTCACATCATCATCATCAAAAACACCCATTATAAGCAATGTTGCTATCAGTTTAAGAACAGGAACAAACTGGAATGCAACCTGTCCTCCAACAGGGTCTCGTATGTGACTCCCACTACACTGTACTGCCTCTGTTAACATACTTATGGCCTTGGATTTGAGTATCTCCAGGGGTATCTCTGGGATGGACGTCTGATGATCTTCACCGGTCGCAATAAAGCATGGAGTAGAAAAATTGAAGTCTGGTTTAAGACAAGTGCTAAGCCCTACTCCAGGTAAACCATGCTTCTTTGTTTCATCGGGATATAATTTAATATTTCGAGTTTCGTCTGTAACTGGAATGATAAATTCATTGCTCATCATGAGCTTGGCTTGCTTGGCATGCTCCAAGTGAATACTAATGAGCAAGTCATAGAATCCAGAACGTAGAAGTCCAGGTAAATATTGGTTATCTATTGTAAAAAACAGCTGAGATATGTCCACATGGCTACAAAGTGCATAAGCAACCCTAGTGTTACCTAGAGCACTAACTGAGCTATAGAGTTTTAAAGTGTGGTAGTGAAACATCATCAAATCTTCTTGTTCACACAGTTCCAAAATATCAACACATCTGTTATGAAATAAAGAAAGAGAACACCAGTCAATTCCATGAACAAAGACTTTGAAAAAGGAAAGCTTTATAATCTCTAAACATTTCATCAGCTTCTCTTCACAAATATAAAAGTTGATACTAAATCTTTGTAGTATGTGCATCATTAGAACACAGTAAATGGTGAAAATAATTTGTTGAGAATCTTTAAAATTAGTACTCCATAGTAAAAAAACCCCAAAATTTAAGATGAAGATTCTTTGGAATCTCTTGTAAATTAGAAATTGTTTTTAAAGTAGGTGTATTAGGCATGCTGAAAATCTGCATTAATACATTACAAAACAGTGCCTTTCCAGTTTACTCAGGATTATTTATTCATTTTTTCCACAAGACCAGTGTTTTTCACTCTTTTCTTGAATTCAGTTTTATTAAAAATAAATAAAATTGAGGTTTGAATCATTAAAAGAAATTGTAAAATTATTAATAAAAGTACAGCTGTTAAATGAGCTTTCCTCTATGCTTTTGCTGATAGTTTGATTTTTCACTGGTTATGACATTTGATGTTTGGATAGATGTTTATTATCCTCACTCTGAAGATAAAACCTATTGAAAATCAAAGAAAGGCATGATCTTGTCAGTAAGAACATAAGAACTTAATGTAAATTTAGGGCAGATGAAACAGGAAGAGATTACAGGTTTCTTTTAAGGAAAAAATCATCATAATAGTACTTGCATGTTCTTTATGCTTGTTTTTCTCAAGCTGAGAAAAATCTCTAGGTTTAAAGACCCACAGATATAAGAGATGCTATTTAAATTTAAACTTAAATAGAATCAAATAGTCACACTTTGTTTTATATATGTAAAACTTAGTACATGGAATTAAAGTTCAGTCTCTTATATTTATTTGAGTTTCACGAATACAATAATATCTGATATGGTATCAGGTAAGATCAGAAACTCTCAACAACTACAGGGTAAGTATTGTGTAAGGCAGGTTTAATCAGTAGCTGTTTTCAGTATGTTTTGTCCACATCAAGTAATTTTATCTCATTATCAAGGTACCTGTTTTCTTCTGGGATATGAAGTGCCATCATCTGCAGAGGTTCCAAACACTGTACTACAAAGATTTA